AAAAAAAAAAGAAACAGGTTTATATTCTGGTTGTTCATGTATTTTTATCCAGTACAGGTGCTAAATTTGTCCCGAAAGAGAAATTTAATTTGACGTCACTCTTCGCAAATGGTTGCGGCATGGCACCAAGCATCACTGTCCTCAAAATAATACTGCCTCGTGCGCGTTTCAGCCTCTTTTCAAGGCCAGGGTGTATGAATTAGAAAAGAAAAATTCTGTAATGACAGTTTCTTTTCACCGAGGAGTATCATGGCTATCTCTAGCTCTTTCCAGCTGATTATTTCTAACACACTTCCGGTTTGTTAGCTTCCGGTCATTTATTTGCTTTACCATATTTGGACGTTTTCTGTGACGTATAATTGAGAGTGAGAGCTTGGGACTAGTAAATACACAACAAAACTTCTTTTGGTGAAAGAGTTGGTGATCTCAATGTGAAAAAGTTTACCTATTTATTGTTGAAATTTAGGCTTATTCAAGTCGAAAAGCCGTGATCATTGAAAAGAAGAGTATAAAGTAAATGGCCGCTCAACCACCTTCATCGGCTGTGCGAGCGTTACAGCTGGAGCTAAAGAAACTTACCGAGGAACCAGTCGAAGGATTCGTCGTCAATGTGCCAGATGAGAGCAACTTATTCGAATGGGACGTAGCGATTTTTGGTCCTCCAGGTACTCTTTACGAGGGTGGTTACTTTAAGGTAAGTCTGTAATCTAACAGAGCAGAATTTCTTGTTTTGGAAAGCAAGCGTTGCTAAGTTTTTTTTGACATGCCTCATTTTCGCTACAGGCACACATGTCCTTCCCTCCTGGCTACCCATACTCACCACCAACGTTTCGCTTTCTCACGAAAATGTGGCATCCTAATATATACGAGGTAAGATAGATCTTAAGCCGGTTGCAATTCTTTTCTACGTATTTTACTCTTGTAATTTTTATTGAGCGGCTGATGATTTATTCTCGATTCTTTAGTCCGGTGATGTGTGTATTTCAATTCTACATCCCCCGGTTGACGATCCGCAAAGTGGTGAATTACCTTCCGAGCGATGGAACCCGACACAAAATGTCAGGTACGTATAAAATAGCCTTCCAGTCAGTTTTTCTTTTACTGAAAAAGACTTAGGCTTTCTAGTGTTCAAGAAGGTATCCGTTACATACAGAAATAGCTTTCAACTAGATTGTAATACCATCACAAACCAAACGCCATATTATTTTTGGTACAAGAAATGTACATACGTTAAAGCATACGACTTATATTGGATTTCTTCTTGATATCTCGAATGTTATTTTGCTTGCTTTTATGCCAGAAAGTGTTTTTCAGCTTGTCTATCAAAGGGAGACTGTCAAGGTTTTGTGTTTTGGACGCTTGAATGATAATTCTATGCTCTGGTGTGTTTATTTGTCGGCATGTTTTCTTGTCACACTGTCAAAACGTGGTTAGGATTTTGCATGTATTGTGGTCGTTCTGGTTTGCATTTTCAGCCCAATGAATTACGCACAAGTTCTTCTTAGCGATTGTACATTTAGTATAAGCTTAAAGATGTATCTATCACAAATCACTGAAATAAAACCAATCTCAGTTGGATCGTAGGAGCAGATATGTATATCAACATTAAAGTTTCTGAATAAACACCGGTTCTGAATTTTTATTAATTCTGCAGGTTGCCGGTAGTGTATTGTACAGTTTGACAGAATGTTGCACCTACCGCTCTAAAATTAAGTTCTGAGCCAAAAATGATATTCCTCTAATAGGCTGTGACAAATATTTTAATGCTTTCCAAATTTGCTTGCAATTAATAACATGATAATTGTGTATTGTAAACCTTGGATGCTAAAACAGAAATCCTTGTGACTGACTAGATCTAGGCAGTACAAAATTATTAGGAAATAAATCATAGCTTTAATTACTACTGTATTTGTTTCCAAAGGGTGAGAAAACTTTAGATTTAAAAATTATCTTTAAAAAAATTGTGTTTAATCAGCAGTCACTGGTAATTGGGGGAACATGTTTGATGTAGGACCATGCAGTGGTATTTTCCAGATTTTTTTCTTCACGCTTTCATGTATTGAAACAAAATTGTAGTTCTTGATGAGTATGGATAAAGAGACATGTGAAAAATGGAAACATAAACCACTGCATTCATAAACATCCTTCAAATTTGGCCATTTGAATTTTTATCCTGTCAAATATCTTTGATTTTTGCATGTAATTTATTAGTGAGCCAGTGTTATGGATATTATTTGACACTGGACATTGGACACTGTATTTGGACATTGGACGTTAAACACTGGATTCCAAATCATTTAAACCCTGATTACCTTTGATTCCTGTGAAGCATAAAGTGGTCAATACTGTAGCAGTGTGTGCTTGGCATGTAACTTGATGAATTAATGCAGCTTAGAGCATTAACCAGTTTTAAAACAAATCCACTTACAATGGCAAGAAATAGGAAAAAAACTGAATTAATTCTCTGATTGAAGACAGGACGCTGGTAGAGGAAATAACCAAAATTGATGTTGTGTTCTGTGAAGCTTAGGTTTTTTTACCAAACCCCTCATTTGTGGGGAAATTCAGGAGCAATTAATAATTCACATTCCACTAATAATCAGATTGACACTTGTTGTACACAGCAGAAGCATAGCGAGCATTCCCATACAAAGAGTTCTTCCGCATTCTGGCTGTGTGTAAATTGGAGTGAAAGCAAAAAATTGACGAAGCAGAGGGTGGTGGGGCGAGAGTGGGAGAATGCTTGCCCGCAAACCTCTCGATTTTGAAAAACCTGTCTGCCCAAGTATGGGGTTCCTGATTGGTGTGGCATCGTCATCACGATTGACAAGTGTATCCAATTCGCTTGAACGTTTTCAGGAATTAACTCAAGTGTGACTTGCACAATACTGTGGTGGAAGGTTTGAGAAATTGTGCTAGCCTCAGTGAAGATTTATTAGACTTGAGGTGAATGGTATTCAATTTTACTCAGAAGACACCATCTGTTAGAGGGTAAAGACTTGGTGGCTGTATTACCGCTGGATTCGACAAAAGCTTTTAAAATCTTCCAGCTGCTGTTTCAATTGATCGAATGTGCTTGAAGATCAAACAGGAACCAGGGAAGGAGAACCAATCTTTGAAAGTCTTATTTTGCAACCTCGCTTAGCTTTACTGAGTCGATTTTTGTGCCCAGATAATGCCAGACCGAATTTTAGAAGCCTGTGACTGGTTGTTGTTTTCCCTACAAAAGTGAATTTACTTGCACTGACAATTTTCAAAGAAAGGCTTGTGATTTCTGGTTGGTTCTATAATTCAACAGTTAAATATTTTTAATTTTCTAGCAGCAAGAGAATGAAATAACCGTCAAGCCAATGAATGGTTGAAGTTAAACCATAGGAAAAGCTGGCCTTAAGCCGAACATTTGAATTTGATGTTGCCCTCCAAACGAGTATGTAGATAGCACTATAAAAAAGCTTGCAGTCAAATCTTTCTACACTATGAACAAACAGAAAGCATTTCTTTCCTTATTTCTGAACAATTGGGGGTATTTTATTGTTAGTGCTATTCTGGCACCTCTCAAAAATATAATTTTAGTGCTTGGTGACAAGTTGTCATTCAATAAATGAACTCAATGGTGAAAACCAGTGGGCATTTTTCAAAATCAAGGGGTTTGCGGGCAAGCGTTCCCTCGCTCGCCCCACCATCCCCTGCCTCGTCAATTTTTTGCTCTTGCTCCAATATATGTGTTGCCAGAATGCGGAAAAGCTAGGGTGAAGCATGGTATGATGATATTGTTCTTGTTTTTGACTTGGTTGAAGCTTCGTTTTGATCGTAGTAAAACTAATTTTAGTTCTAACTATCTTCTAAGATTCAAAAGTAGTCACAGCTAATAGTCACTTCTTTACTTTCATCTTTAGTTATAGTATAGCTCCATCCCAAATTTAATTTGGGTGTGCTAAATTATGTTGATTAAGTACAAAGCTTAAAATGACGATGGTTTACAAAAGTGAGCAATTAGATTTTAAAAAAGGCCCATTTTTCTGACAAAATACTTGTGTAAGTGAATCTTTGAATAATTCTTGATTCTAGTAATAAATTGTACAAGGAAAAATGTTTTAAATTTGGAATCTGGAAACAGGAGCTGCAAGC